CCAATTTTTACTCTCCTTTTTTGCAGAATTTTTCGATCCGTATCCCGTAGAAAGGCCTGGTGGAGGCTAGAACTTGTGGATGGCCGCCCGGATAGGCCAAACCCAAACAAGCGGGTAAAATCCTTCCTGGTGCGGGGCTTGAACTGTAGACTCTCCGCCTAACGATATTTACCTTAGCGGCTGGGAGGTTTGGATTGTATTTGTCGAGGAGAAGAGACTGTGTGGGTAGAAGTGTTACACGGGGCGGGAAAGTGCCAACCCGCATTAAAACATCAATATCAGCTCACTGCACGTAAAGGTACATGAGAGTGGAGGAACGGAGCCTTTACGCACGCTTTAAGGTATGCTTAAATAATGTATATTGCACTTACAGCTTTCATTGTCCAGAATATTTTTGTTTTTGTTTTAGTCGCCCTGAAATTGCATGAAATGTTTTTAATAATAGAGGTATCCCTAGAACGCCATCCGACAATGTCAAAAAAGTGAGGGTAGATCTAGAGTTGAGTAATCTATGGAAGAAAAAAAGCCAATGACAACTAGCCTCTACCAGGCTTTGGGTGCGGTAAAATGTTCTCTCTGGCGGACCAACTCCCTCGGCATGTTATCTCTCTATTTGACCGATTTCTGCTTTCCAGCCGCCTCCCGAAGCCTGGTAGAGGCTACATGACAACATGCAACGGACACAAGGGGCGTAAGACAACCCTCTGACAAGAGCCTCGTAGCTCAGGCCTCGTAAAAAGGGATTTTCCTCATCAAAGAACGTTAATCAGTGGATAGACCCGGTACTTAGAGTTTCCTAAATCTGTTCATCCTTGTGTGCTTCACTAGTGTGCCCTACATAACTGTGTATTTTGATTAACTCACAGATGTAGCCGGTATTAGGAGGAATTTGGTACAGTAATCTGGTCCGTTCCTTTCGGAGTCGAACGTAGATCAGATAGCAAGTGACTTATCGTCGGACGATAGTGTTTTAATAGAGAGTGAGACTGACCAGAAATACACTGGAGACTTGCCCTACTAGCCCCACAACGCTGCGAAAAAACAACAACATATTATCACCAAACTCCAAGAGTTCAAGATAGCAACGATTCGGACGATAAAACAATTAGAACGTATTTTACAACCAGGAAAGCCCACATTTTTTCGTCGGAAATGCTGTCGGCTTGTTCTTTCATTTCCTTTAATTCAAACTGTCAGGAGCCTTTTTTTTATCTGGAATTAGACTGGAAGGAAAATTGATGTCATAATTTCCGGCAACTGTGAATGAAAAAACTACTGACACTTGTGTGCCTCAGGCAATTTCACATGACCCTGAGTCGGTTTTGTAAAAGGTGTAAGCAACTTAAACTTGCCCTGGTGGTCTTAGTACTGTTTTTGTACACAGAGTGAAGAATTATTCCCGTATGACCTACTTGCTGTTGTACAGTTTGATGAAAAAGGAAATATATTCTTCCTATCGCAGAAACGTTATACGTTTGCAACATATTTACAGTCTATACTGAGGAAGTGGCATGTCGGGTTTCAAATTTAGTGGAACATAAGCACAATTTTCATTAGCTTAAGCCGCTAAAGATAAATGGTGGTAACTTTCAACACCCTCCTAACTCGTTCAACCTCAGAAATTTGAGTTTTAACGAGTTTTTCCTTCATGCATGACCGTCTTGGAAAATATGCGCCCACAAGGGAATTTGTAACACTTTCAGACAATTACTGAGTCCAGATGATGGCAAATAGGACAACTTTCAACACCCTTCTAACTCGTTCAACCTCAGAAATTACCTTGAAATTATTTTCCTTCATGCATCAGCGTCTTGGAAAATATGCGCCCACAAGGAAATTTGTAACACTTTCAGACAATTACCGACTCCAGATGTTTCCAGGGCGTTAGTTATAGTATGTACAGATGGAGAGGTTTTTCCATTTTTTCTTAGACTCGCCCGAGGCATACGTCTCTTTAGCAGTTTGAGTTCGCACGCTATCATAATACTGCAGAAGCTCTGATGTAGCCGAATGTTTACATTGGGCAAAATTGTGACAACAAGACCAGAATAGTTCACCTTAATCAGCTCGAATAGACTACGGGCGTGCCATAACTCTATAATCATGGGAACGAGAGGTGTCAGCTTCCTTCGTAGTCGTTCTACTTGACGGTGTATAATGACTTTTTTTTTTACTTTCTTCGGTTATTCTTTTCTGTTTGGTTGTTTATTTCCACATGTATAAAACAGAGGCATCTAGTGGAATTTCATGGCGG